CTGGTGGGAAGGCTTCCATTTACAGCTTTAAACGATTACAGATTGCCTTGTGATACCAAGGAAGCTAGTCCACATGGTGGAGGCTTTACATTCTTGTCCACATTAAGACTCCTGGCTCTGAGAGAGCGTTTTTCTGTATTGATTCAGAGGCTCTTGGACCAGCCTGGCCTTGAACACACAGAGATGCGCCTGCCTCTAGATCCCGAGTGCTGGGATTAAAGGCATGTGCCACCACCGCCCAGATAAACCAAGCATTTGAAATGAGGAAATGTTCAAGGTCACCAAGCACTACAAGAGATTGAATTATTCTCAGAGAAACTGAGCACACACCTTTAATCCCAGCACTGAGGAGGTGGAGACAGAAGGGGTGTGGCTTGGCAGAGGGAGGTATATAATGCAGGAAGAGAGGCAGCTCACCCCATTCAGGCTGACGATTCTAGACACCGGTTCTCCTCCTTTGTGCCTAAGGATTCACGAGAGGTAAGAAGTCACACTTGGGATTGGGTCTTTGATTCTCTGCCCTTTCAGAATTAACTCTGATTTCTGACTCTGGGTTTACTAAGACTAATTAGTATTCTGGCTACAAAACCTGTTGTTTTAATTTGTGTTTTTGCTAAACCCCAGGAATGTAACTGTGGACATTTTACATGATGAGGGTCAATGTCTGCAGCTTACTTACAGTGCTTTGTACTCAGAAATGACGTTCTAGGATTGCAGCAGTCTAGCATCTGTGGGTGAGAACAGCTTGTTTGAAATCACATCCAAAATTAGCATTTTTGAGTTCCATGCGCATAGTTGTAAACACTAACATTTAACATTGAAATTTTTACCCAGCATTAATTTTTCAACTGAGAAATATGCACTGTCAAGTTAATATAGCGTTCTAAATAGGAATTTGACAGATTGGTGGGAAACAAGTTTTATCCCACCATTGTTGAGGCAAAGACAGCTGGAAGTCAGTGAGATACAGGCTATCCCTTCACTGTATTGATTTCTACTTCAGCCTGGGCTTCATGGTGAGAATATTTCTCTGAAAAGAAAAAGAAAAACAGAAATTTGTGTTTTTGTGCCGGGTCCTTACAGTTACACTCTTGAGCCTGTTTCATGGTACCAGGCCACCGTATTTTCCCAGTTAGAAAAGGAGTTTTAAACAAGCTGGTGTCGACACAGGTCTGTAATCCAATTTTTCCGTATTGTCGTGGTATCTGATTCCAGGTTTTTAAGCACGAATTAGAATTCTGGAGAACACGAGGTCTGATTCCGAGACCACCATGGCCAACAAAATGGATATGTCTTTGGATGACATCATTAAGCTGAACCGGAGCAAGCAAGGCAGTCGCGGCAAAGGCCAGGGCTGGAGCAGTGCCGGCTGCCAGGGCCGCCACGGTGGTGCCAGGCGGGCCCCTGTGTGGGCGAATCGACGCAGCTGGTCTCTGAAGAACCGGTCTACCATGAGTGATGGCTCTGCAGGAGGAGGCAGGAACCGGCCGGCTCCGTACAGCAGGCCTATACAACTTCCCAACAAGGGGCAGCATGACCGATTCGACAGCCGCTTCTGTGGTGGAGCCAGCTTGGAGATGGGCAGAAAGCTGTTGGTGTCAAACCTTGACAGCGGGGTGTCAGACGCGGATATTCTGGAAATCTTCTCAGTGTTTGGAACACTGAAGACAGCAGCTGTGCACTACGATCGCTCCGGACGAAGTTTAGGGACAGCCCAAGTGCACTTTCGACAGAAGGCAGATGCTCTGAAGGCTATGAAACAGTACAATGGTGTCCCTTTAGATGGCTGCCCCATGAACATTCAGCTTGTGACATCACAGACTGACTCACAAAGAAAACCCGCACAGAGAATGATCAGAGGTTCCATGAGTAGAAACCATGGCTCATGGTGTTTTGGTGGCGGTCTCATCCGGAGAGGGACCCGTGGAGGCAGCCCTGGAAGAGGTAGAGGAGGTTCGATCAGGAACTCCAAGGAGCCCTTTTCTGCCGAGCAGTTGGATGCACAGCTGGATGAGTACAATGCACAGATGGACACCAGTTAAACAGCCGGGCAAATCCACAGAAGTAACAGGACCCAGAAGCTTTGTCCGTAATCCCTCGAGGGAGGGTTGGCAACTGGACTGTGCACGCAATGGGGGATTTCTTTTTCGTTTGTCTCTCTCTCTCTCTCTCTCTCTCTCTCTCTCTCTCTCTCTCTCTCTCTCTTTTCCCTGTTTTAAAATGGGATCTTAAAACTCATGTAAAGGCTTTCTTCCCCTCTTTTTTTAATTCTGAAACTGACCTGTTTTGTACCGAGTCACTTTGGCGATCAGTTTTACTGGTGACTGTTGTGGAGAAGGTGGCATGTTCACCTTTGCCATAATAAACTAGAATTGTGTGTAGGAAAGAAAATAAAAAGAGAATTCTGGCTTCAAAACCTATTGTGTTTTTGTTTGTTGTGAGCTGACACCTAGTGGTGAGACTGTGTAATTCCCACAAGAGGAGGGTCAATGGCTGCAGCCTGCTCAGGGGGGGATTTTTACAGAGAATGGATGTGGCCGAGTTGCAGCAGTCTGCTTTGTGTGGGTGAGAAGTGTTTCCTTGCTGCCTCCCTTGCTCCTCCTGAGGGTTTCTTGGGAAATTACTTGTTAAGTGTATTTCTTTCAGGCAGATTTTCATTAAATTTGGTCTACAACAAATTAAGTAATTCATTTTATGTGCTTTTGTGATCCCAAACATTCAGTTCCATTTCTGCTCCTGAGGTTTGACTGGGAAGTGATTGGAAGTGGCATTCAAGTTACACTCACTGAAGAGCTGGTTTCTAGTGATTTTCCATGCTATGCCTGTTTATGTCAAATGGGGAATCACTTGTAGAGTCCTATAACTTTAACTACTCGTGTAGACTTCTGTGTTAACAATCCAGGCACTTTCCTTGTGAATGATCTCTTTCTCATGTTGGGGGCAATCAATCCCCCAGTTCTGCGCACCTGCGGAGCCAGACAAAAAGTCCTAGAAAGTGGAGAGGGAGGAGACGGTAGAGAATGATCCTGTGGGACACAATTCAGTTTTCCCGCATTCTGTTCTACTAGGAATAATTCTATAGACTTCCAACGAGAAAGATCTCAGAATTATCCTGCTATAGCTATGAGAAGACTTTCTATATATAAAAATTGCTACTAGTGGGAAAATCAATCTTATATGGATATTCATGTGAGTCATGCATTGTACATTTAGGTTCTCCTTCAAGATATATCCTTGCCTAATGCTCAGAAACAGGCTAGGCTTTCAGATGCAGAAATGACTTTCCTGTGGTTGATTCCTCCTGAAGTCCAATTATAAGCTGTTGGTTACCACCAATGTCTGTGTGCTGCTCTTGCAGCCTTCAGGCTATCACGCAGTGCAGACCATTGTTATGGTTCATAATTTTCATACCTGGGAAGGGCACTTGGCTTTATGTTGGGCGAAGTCTTGTGTATTTGTCGATAAGAACTGTTGGCCAATAGCAAAGCAAGATAGGTGGGACTAGGAATCAAGGAGGACTCTGTGAAGGAGAAACACAGATTTCAAGATATTAGGCCATGGTTTAGGACGCCCGTAAAGTTCTCCTGTAAGAGAAATAATTCGATTATCAATTATGGGATAAATACTTTTGTCAGGGCTAGCCAGTAGGAAACATACAAGGGCAACAGCCTCATAATTAATGTAGCCTCCTGTGTATTTATTTGGCCCTGATGCCGCTCTGAAACCAGGCTGGCGGGAAGGCTTCCCTTTACAGCTTTAAAAGTTTACAGATTGCCTTATGATACCAAGGAAGCTGGTCACAATCGTGGAGGCTTTAAATTCTTGTGCACATCAAGACTCCTGGCTCTGAGACAGGGTTTTCCTGTATGGATTTGGAGGCTCTCGGACCAGCCTGGCCTTGACCTCACAGACATCCTCCTGCCTCTCGCTCCCGAGTGCTGGGATTAAAGGCGTGTGCCACCACCGCCCAGATAAACCAAGCATTTGAAATGAGGAAATGTTCAATGTCACCAAGCACTACAAGAGATTGAATTATTCTCAGAGAAACTGAGCACACACCTTTAATCCCAGCACTGAGGAGGTGGAGACAGAAGGGGTGTGGCTTGGCAGAGGGAGGTATATAATGCAGGAAGAGAGGCAGCTCACCCCATTCAGTCTGAGGATTCTAGACACCGGTTCTCCTCCTTTGTGCCTAAGGATTCACGAGAGGTAAGAAGTCACACTTGGGATTGGGTCTTTGATTCTCTGCCCTTTCAGAATTAACTCTGATTTCTGACTCTGGGTTTACTAAGACTAATTAGTATTCTGGCTACAAAACCTGTTGTTTTAATTTGTGTTTTTGCTAAACCCCAGGAATGTAACTGTGGACATTTTACATGATGAGGGTCAATGTCTGCAGCTTACTTACAGTGCTTTGTACTCAGAAATGATGTTGTAGGATTGCAGCAGTCTAGCATCTGTGGGTGAGAACAGCTTGTTTGAAATCACATCCAAAATTAGCATTTTTGAGTTCCATGCGCATAGTTGTAAACACTAACATTTAACATTGAAATTTTTACCCAGCATTACTTTTTCAACTGAGAAATATGCACTGTCAAGTTAATATAGCGTTCTAAATAGGAATTTGACAGATTGTTGGGAAATAAGTTTTATCCCACGATTGGTGAGGCAAAGACAGCTGGAAGTCAGTGAGATACAGGCTATCCCTTCACTGTATTGATTTCTACTTCAGCCTGGGCTTCATGGTGAGAATATTTCTCTGAAAAGAAAAAGAAAAACAGAAATTTGTGTTTTTGTGCCGGGTCCTTAAAGTTACACTCTTGAGCCTGTTTCATGGTACCAGGCCACCGTATTTTCCCAGTTAGAAAAGGAGTTTTAAACAAGCTGGTGTCGACACAGGTCTGTAATCCAATTTTTCCGTGTTGTCGTGGTATCTGATTCCAGGTTTTTAAGCACGAATTAGAATTCTGGAGAACACGAGGTCTGATTCCGAGACCACCATGGCCAACAAAATGGATATGTCTTTGGATGACATCATTAAGCTGAACCGGAGCAAGCAAGGCAGTCGCGGCAAAGGCCAGGGCTGGAGCAGTGCCTGCTGCCAGGGCCGCCACGGTGGTGCCAGGCGGGCCCCTGTGTGGGCGAATCGACGCAGCTGGTCTCTGAAGAACCGGCCTACCATGAGTGGTGGCTCTGCAGGAGGAGGCAGGGACCGGCCGGCTCCGTACAGCAGGCCTATACAACTTCCCAACAAGGGGCAGCATGACCGATTCGACAGCCGCTTCTGTGGTGCAGCCAGCTTGGAGATGGGCGGAAAGCTGTTGATGTCAAACCTTGACTGCGGATATTCTGGAACTCTTCTCAGTGTTTGGAACACTGAAGACAGCAGCTGTGCACTACGATCGCTCCGGACGAAGTTTAGGGACAGCCCAAGTGCACTTTCGACAGAAGGCAGATGCTCTGAAGGCTTTGAAACAGTACAATGGTGTCCCTTTAGATGGCCGCCCCATGAACATTCAGCTTGTGACATCACAGACTGACTCACAAAGAAAACCCGCACAGAGAATGATCAGAGGTTCCATGAGTAGAAACCATGGCTCATGGTGTTTTGGTGGCGGTCTCATCCGGAGAGGGACCCGTGGAGGCAGCCCTGGAAGTGGTAGAAGAGGTTCGAGCAGGAACTCCAAGGAGCCTCTTTCTGCCGAGCAGTTGGATGCACAGCTGGATGAGTACAATGCACAGATGGACACCAGTTAAACAGCCGGGCAAATCCACAGAAGTGACAGGACCCAGAAGCTTCGTCCGTAATCCCTCGAGGGAGGGTTGGCAACTGGACTGTGCACACAATGGGGGATTTCTTTTGCGTTTGTCTCTCTCTCTCTCTCTCTCTCTCTCTCTCTCTCTCTCTCTCTTTTCCCTGTTTTAAAATGGGATCTAAAAACTCATGTAAAGGCTTTCTTCCCCTCTTTTTTTAATTCTGAAACCGACCTGTTTTGTACCGAGTCACTTTGGCGATCAGTTTTACTGGTGACTGTTGTGGAGAAGGTGGCATGTTCACCTTTGCCATAATAAACTAGAATTGTGTGTAGGAAAGAAAATAAAAAGAGAATTCTGGCTTCAAAACCTATTGTGTTTTTGTTTGTTGTGAGCTGACACCTAGTGGTGAGACTGTGTAATTCCCACAAGAGGAGGGTCAATGGCTGCAGCCTGCTCAGGGGGGGATTTTTACAGAGAATGGATGTGGCCGAGTTGCAGCAGTCTGCTTTGTGTGGGTGAGAAGTGTTTCCTTGCTGCCTCCCTTGCTCCTCCTGAGGGTTTCTTGGGAAATTACTTGTTAAGTGTATTTCTTTCAGGCAGATTTTCATTAAATTTGGTCTACAACAAATTAAGTAATTCATTTTATGTGCTTTTGTGATCCCAAACATTCAGTTCCATTTCTGCTCCTGAGGTTTGACTGGGAAGTGATTGGAAGTGGCATTCAAGTTACACTCACTGAAGAGCTGGTTTCTAGTGATTTTCCATGCTATGCCTGTTTATGTCAAATGGGGAATCACTTGTAGAGTCCTATAACTTTAACTACTCGTGTAGACTTCTGTGTTAACAATCCAGGCACTTTCCTTGTGAATGATCTCTTTCTCATGTTGGGGGCAATCATTCCCCCAGTTCTGCGCACCTGCGGAGCCAGACAAAAAGTCCTAGAAAGTGGAGAAGGAGGAGACGGTAGAGAATGATCCTGTGGGACACAATTCAGTTTTCCCGCATTCTGTTCTACTAGGAATAATTCTATAGACTTCCAACGAGAAAGATCTCAGAATTATCCTGCTATAGCTATGAGAAGACTTTCTATATATAAAAATTGCTACTAGTGGGAAAATCAATCTTATATGGATATTCATGTGAGTCATGCATTGTACATTTAGGTTCTCCTTCAAGATATATCCTTGCCTAATGCTCAGAAACAGGCTAGGCTTTCAGATGCAGACATGACTTTCCTGTGGTTGATTCCTCCTGAAGTCCAATTATAAGCTGTTGGTTACCACCAATGTCTGTGTGCTGCTCTTGCAGCCTTCAGGCTATCACGCAGTGCAGACCATTGTTATGGTTCATAATTTTCATACCTGGGAAGGGCACTTGGCTTTATGTTGGGCGAAGTCTTGTGTATTTGTCGATAAGAACTGTTGGCCAATAGCAAAGCAAGATAGGTGGGACTAGGAATCAAGGAGGACTCTGTGAAGGAGAAACACAGATTTCAAGATATTAGGCCATGGTTTAGGACGCCCGTAAAGTTCTCCTGTAAGAGAAATAATTCGATTATCAATTATGGGATAAAAACTTTTGTCAGGGCTAGCCAGTAGGAAACATACAAGGGCAACAGCCTCATAATTAATGTAGCCTCCTGTGTATTTATTTGGCCCTGATGCCGCTCTGAAACCAGGCTGGCGGGAAGGCTTCCCTTTACAGCTTTAAAAGTTTACAGATTGCCTTATGATACCAAGGAAGCTGGTCACAATGGTGGAGGCTTTAAATTCTTGTGCACATCAAGACTCCTGGCTCTGAGACAGGGTTTTCCTGTATGGATTTGGAGGCTCTCGGACCAGCCTGGCCTCGACCTCACAGAGATCCTCCTGCCTCTCGCCTCCCGATGCTGGGATTAAAGGCGTGTGCCACCACCGCCCAGATAAACCAAGCATTTGAAATGAGGAAATGTTCAAGGTCACCAAGCACTACAAGAGATTGAATTATTCTCAGAGAAACTGAGCACACACCTTTAATCCCAGCACTGAGGAGGTGGAGACAGAAGGGGTGTGGCTTGGCAGAGGGAGGTATATAATGCAGGAAGAGAGCCAGCTCACCCCATTCAGTCTGAGGATTCTAGACACCGGTTCTCCTCCTTTGTGCCTAAGGATTCACGAGAGGTAAGAAGTCACACTTGGGATTGGGTCTTTGATTCTCTGCCCTTTCAGAATTAACTCTGATTTCTGACTCTGGGTTTACTAAGACTAATTAGTATTCTGGCTACAAAACCTGTTGTTTTAATTTGTGTTTTTGCTAAACCCCAGGAATGTAACTGTGGACATTTTACATGATGAGGGTCAATGTCTGCAGCTTACTTACAGTGCTTTGTACTCAGAAATGATGTTCTAGGATTGCAGCAGTCTAGCATCTGTGGGTGAGAACAGCTTGTTTGAAATCACATCCAAAATTAGCATTTTTGAGTTCCATGCGCATAGTTGTAAACACTAACATTTAACATTGAAATTTTTACCCAGCATTACTTTTTCAACTGAGAAATATGCACTGTCAAGTTAATATAGCGTTCTAAATAGGAATTTGACAGATTGGTGGGAAACAAGTTTTATCCCACCATTGGTGAGGCAAAGACAGCTGGAAGTCAGTGAGATACAGGCTATCCCTTCACTGTATTGATTTCTACTTCAGCCTGGGCTTCGTGGTGAGAATATTTCTCTGAAAAGAAAAAGAAAAACAGAAATTTGTGTTTTTGTGCCGGGTCCTTACAGTTACACTCTTGAGCCTGTTTCATGGTACCAGGCCACCGTATTTTCCCAGTTAGAAAAGGAGTTTTAAACAAGCTGGTGTCGACACAGGTCTGTAATCCAATTTTTCCGTATTGTGCTGGTATCTGATTCCAGGTTTTTAAGCACGAATTAGAATTCTGGAGAACACGAGGTCTGATTCCGAGACCACCATGGCCAACAAAATGGATATGTCTTTGGATGACATCATTAAGCTGAACCGGAGCAAGCAAGGCAGTCGCGGCAAAGGCCAGGGCTGGAGCAGTGCCGGCTGCCAGGGCCGCCAAGGTGGTGCCAGGCTGTCCCCTGTGTGGGCGAATCGACGCAGCTGGTCTCTGAAGAACCGGCCTACCATGAGTGGTGGCTCTGCAGGAGGAGGCAGGAAACGGCCGGTTCCCTATAGCAGGCCTATACAACTTTTCAACAAGTGGCAACATGAGCAATTCGATAGCCACTTCTGTGGTGGAGGGAGCAAGGGGATGGACGGCAAGCTGTTTGTGTCAAATCTTGACTGCAGCTGTCAGAAGCATATATTCAGGAACTCTTCTGAGAGTTTGGAACACTGAAGACACTGTGCACTACGATCGCTCCGGAGGAAGTTTAGGGACAGCCCTGTTGCACTTTCGACAGAAGGCAGATGATCTGAAGGCTATGAAACAGTACAATGGTGTCCCTTTAGGCGGTTGCCCCATGATCATTCAACTTGTCCTATCACAGAGTGACTCACAAAGAAATCCTGTACAGAGAATGAACAGAGGAAACATGAGGAGGAACCATGGCTCAGGGTGTTTTGGTGGTAGCCTCATCCAGAGAGGGAACCATGCAGGCAGCCATTTTGAGGTAGAGGTACGAGCAGGAACTCAAACCAGCATCTTTCTGCCGAGGAGTTGGATGCACAGCTGGATGAGTACAATGCACAGATGGACACCAGTTAAACAACCGGGCAAATCCACAGAAGTGACAGGACCCAGAAGCTTTGTCTGTAATCCCTCGAGGGAGGCCTGGCAACTGGACTGTGCACACAATGGTGGATTTCTTTTTTGTTCTTCTCTCTCTCTCACTCTCTCTCTTTTTCCCTCTTTTAAAATGGGATCTAAAAACTCATGTAAAGGCTTTATTCCCTCTCTTTTTAATTCGGAAACAGACCTGTTTTGTACCGAGTTATTTTGGCGATCAGTTTTACTGGTTTCTGTTGTGCAGAAGTTGGCATGTTCACCTTTGCCATAATAAACAAGAATTGAGTATAGGAAACAAAATATAAAGAGATTTCTGGCAACAAACCTATTGTGTTTTAATTTGTTGTTAGCTGACACCTAGTGGTGAGACTGTGTAATTCCCACAAGAGGAGGTTCAATGCCTTCAGCCTGCTCAGTGTGATTTTTTCAGAGAATCCATGGGACAGAGTTGCAGCAGTCTGCTTTTTGTGGGTGGGAAAATTTTTCTTGCTGTCTCCCTTGCTCCTCTGAGGGTTTCTTGGAATATTACTTGTTAAGTGTATTTCTTTCTGGCAGATTTTCATTCAATTTGGACTCTAGTAAATTAAGTAAATCATTTTGTGTGCTTTTGTGATCGCAAACATTCAGTTCCATATCTGCCTCTGAGGTTGGCCTGGGAAGTGTTTGGATGTGGCATCCAAGTTACACTCACTGAAGGTGGTTTCTAGTTATTTTCAGATCTATGCCTGTTTATTTCAAATGGAGAAGCACTTGTAGGGTCCTATATCTTTAACTACTCATGTAGATTTCTGCCTTAACAATCCAGGCACTTTCCTTCTGAATGATCTCTTGCTCATGTTGGGATCAATTAGTCACTCAGATCTGCTCACCCGTGGAGCTAGACTAAAAGTCCTAGAAAGTGGAGTGGGAGGAGACCGTACTGAATGATCCGGTGGGACACAATTCACTTTTCCTGCATTCTGTTTTACTAGAAATAATTCTATAGAGTTCCACTGTGAAAGATATCAGGATTATCCTGCTATAGCTATTAGAAGTCTTTCTACATAATTTAGGAGAAAACCTGTACCCATGTTACTTACTAGAGGGGCATACAGATGAGGTATTAAAAGGGTGGTTTAACATACCGCTAACCACACCCACTTTAGGCATGTCTAAAGATGTATACGGCCAGACGTAAAGACGTATACATACGTAGGTGGTGAAATTTGTCACTAGTCAGGCCCAGTTTTGGTCCTGGCTATGGGACCTTAAGGGGTAAGGAATAAAT